TGTCAACATATCCTTTCCATAAGTATAACAATATCCCGAATGTCAATGTTACCAACCACAGGTAAATTTCAACGTTAGCGATTTCCGCCGTTCTCCGTGATGTAATTTTAGTCCTTCTGCTCATAGAAATATAGATTAGAATAGAATATGGGCAGAAGGACTAAAATTACATACTGACAGAAAGTTACGACTACTCATTGGTTGACGGGATATTGTGTAGTGAACTTTGATCCTAATTATTTAATTATAATTCGTTTCTCACCTTGGTGAAATGAAATGAAATGAAATGGGGTTTAACGTCCTACTGTTTTGCTCCGAACTGGGCTAATGAAGACGGGCATACGCCATACAGTGTGCTATGAGGGTAATTTTGCCCGGACAGCGGCACTACGGCCTACTCTTATATCGAATTCCAACTGTCAAGGGATCTTTTACGTGCACGCCATTCTCACCTTGGTATTATTATATCTACTGAAAAAGAATCGGTTTCAGACGAGTTATTTGCTCCTGAGTAAGAAATTGGAATCAGACCAGTTATTTGGCAATCTCGCTTACGAACATCGACGTAACAGATTTTAGACATATACATGTCATAGTTTGATGTTATTTTTTTTTAAATATTGTCCACGTTACTGGCGCCTGTTTATTGTCCTTTAATAACATACATACATGTCTATTGCTTAAAAACATACCTATTGCTTATTACTGTCTGAACCATCGTAAATTTTAAACGGATTTCTTCGATTATGAACAAACTAATTAACTTCGGTTATTATAAACTTACCCGTGTGTTTGAAATCACCTGCCGTTAAATAAAATCCATTACATGATTCAATATCTCAACGAATGAAAAAAGTTCTCGCTTGAAGAATTGAATTCCCACAAACTTTTGACATTGAAAATTGCAAAAATGGAAGCTGATTACGTCCCTCTTTGGGAAAGATCATTTCATATAATGGGGTTACAGCATGCCACGGTTTGCGGTACTTTTACGACAATTCAAGTTTCGGCTCGGTATTGAATTTGGGCGTTCAAACACATAACTGCCCGTATTCCTTTATTTTGTTACCATCTTTACATTCTAGTAAAATCACTGCAAAGTTTATAGTTTTACCTTTTGAAATATTTTTTTTAATCATAGTTTTGATTAGAGAGTCGGATGAATGAATTTTCTTTTGAACACATATGCGGCACAAAAACAATGACATTCGTTTTACGAGCATTAAATTTTACCGATTAATATTTTTAATATGATATATAACTTGATAGATTTAACGTATTTGTACAGGGAATTTACAGTTATGGGGTTATGGTGTGATTTAAGTTTTATTTACTATAAATTAAAAGATAGTTGATGATAAATAATGTGTTTACATTATGAACAATAAAAACTGCACCATATCACAGTTCGGCCAAAACCGTAGAATCTAGATATGATGGCGCGCTTCTTACGAGGTCTTGCATGTTGTTTTTTAGCATTATAAACCCACCCAAAAAGCACTTTGAGGGCTGTCGCAATACGCTTATATTAGATGTCATTGAAACGGTTATTTTTGGATTGAAAGAATGATATCAAATTATGATACACTCGGAAACTTGTAATTGTCTTCAGTTGATATTTTTCGTTGCCCAAACTCAAACGATCGAAATGATCGCGCTTTGTTTTGATTGCAACACGTGGATGTCAAAATCTCTGTCAAAGTTAAACCACGGCCCCGCAAAAGATTCACTGGCTTCGTCCAACACGTGACGAAAGCCATGTTGTCTTGAACTCTGTCAAAAATACAAGTAATAACTTCAGATTTTTCAAGAGAGAACTTTTTTATTCGTTAGAACATTTCATTGTACAATGGATTTTATTTAACGGGAGTGATTTAAATCACGCAGGTAAGTGTATAATAACCAAAGTTAAAGGGGCATTATGAAAGATTAGATAATGGCAGTTCTCACTATAATGGTTAAAAACTAGATAATGTAAAGGGAATATGATGAAAATTTCAGTCAAATTGCCCCACTCTGAATCGAGATTTTAGCGTTTGAATTTTAGACCCAGTCTCGATCATCATTACTAAAATCGATACGATAAAAAACATAGTCTCAATTATCCATTTTTGGATGAAATCATCAATGAGCATTGAGCAGCAACTCGGATTCAAATCCAGTGAAAATCCGACACATGTGATGACATCGAGAGTTGGTTAAGGTCTTTTCATGTTAATAACTAATTAATAGAGTATATAACATTTCGGACCCAGAGAAAGACCGGCAATATGCAGATTTAGCTTTTGCATAATGTATGTTTAAGTAGTTTGTTCATAATCGAAGAAATCCGTTACATTTTACGATGGTTCAGACAGTAACATATATATGTTACTGTCTGAACCATCGTAAAATATACTGTATATACCCATTGCTTAATAACATAATTGCTCAACAGCAGACACAATGCTTCATGTCTGCTTGCCGCTATTGGAAACCAAATGATTATACTTACAATTTTTAAAATAACTACATAATAACCAGTTTTTACAAGAAGTGTAATGCTGCTACTTGTTTTGTATTGGGTGCAATATTTAATGATATTAAAAGTTAATGATCATTATTGTGTAATCATGGATGTTTGAATAAAGTAGAATTTGCCCCTGTGCAGAAATAAAATGAGATGGAGTTTTACAATTCGTCCCATGTGCAACATTGGGTCTAAACAATAGATAATATATACGAGACAATCGATAATTTTAATTTCTTTTATGATGTAGCGATCTGGAATAAAAGTCAAATATAGAATCTTAACATATATTTTCACAATAACAAGTCCAACTGGTTATTTATTATTATTGTTTCTACTGATATTTCATCGCTGCATGTTTGTTTTCGGCGGTTTTTTTTTGGGGGGGGGGGGGGGGCGCTACGTATGTTTGTTTTCAATAAAGAACTGAATGTTTTGGGGTATATTCAGTATTTTGTATATTTCAGAATGCGAGTTATCTGGAAGGGATTTACCAATTCAAGATGATGACAAATCAGTTGACATACCCATTAACTTTGTGTCAGATGTCACCAAGGTCAAGGTCAATAGTAGTAGCGGAATTGAATGGCTGGTGCCTGTGATTGGGTTTTCTTGGAACCCACCACAAGCTGGTAAATATCTTGTTGATGTTGGCTCAAACTTTAAATGCGGTAGCTAAACTAGAGACCTTGTCCAAAACACAGTCTGGCTCTACGAAAGATTTTCCATAATATTTGAAATTTAAAACACGAATTAGAGCCATACGCCCTTTAATTATATAGTTAGCTTCTTCGGTATATGAAATAACAATATATATATAGAAGTGGTATCTAGTGTTCTAGAAAGAGTAAATATTTTGATGGGACAAGAAACGAAAAGCTCTTGCGACAAATGTTTTCAATTTCCATCATGGGGTTAACATCTGTATTTGATAACACGAGCGTAAACGCAATAGTCTTACCTGTCAACCTATCTTTTTCAGGTTTATCTCTGTCGTATTTAAAAGGGTTTTTATTAAATGCACTATGTTTACATGGTGATAAATGTTTAAAAACATCGTTCTGTGTCATGTTTGATCTGAGACAGAATAATTTGTCCATTATTGACAGTAGGGTAAGTAATGGAAGAAATGTGGTATTTATAAACAGTTATTGTGATATACAGTCATTGTAGATTCTGTTTTATTCATTATCTAGTATTAAAATGGGGGGGGGGTCGCTTGCTTGTCCAAGCTCATGGGTTTTCTCTCACTGCTAAAGACCCCTATGCGCAAGGGAATTATTAAATTAAACCATGTATTAGTGTAGATATGACGTAGTCTGTGTCCAGTGGACGTCAAACCCCATTTCTCCCTCTCTAGCATTAAAATGGTTTCAACTTTCAGGTCATCAGGGTAATTGCCAGACATTGTTTAAAAACACAGTACAATGTGCTTGTGCTTTAATACCTACTGTTCATACTCTGTAGACTTAAACATGGTTGTTGGATCGACGATTATTTTATAGTTCATGGGTTATTGTTGATTTTAAATGGTTCACAGCCGGCATTTAATCGTTAGGGACAAAATGATTTGTGGAGCAATAGAGAATGGTTGGAACAATTTCCGATGTAGATAATGAATAAAATGTTAAAGATACATTATGGGAGATTCGATAACGAGTTGGCAATTCGCACTATAATAGTTAAAAACTAGATAATGTAAAGGCAATTTGCTGAAAATGTCATTCAAATTGATCCACTATGAACCGAGAACTAAGCGTTTGAAATTTCCGCCTAGCCTCTATCATCATTACTAAAGTCAGTACAGTCTCGATTATTCATTTAATCGTTAAATCGTGAAGGAAAGTTATGCAGTAAATCGGCTCATAATCCACTTAAGATCGTAGGCTAGCGATGCCATCTAGAGTTGATTATGGTCTGGATAGGTTAATTAATGTCTAATTAATAATTTAGATAACATTTCAGGCCTAAAGAAAGGCCTGCAATAGACAGATTTAGATGTATGTTTAAAGAATCTGTAATAAATTTGGGGGGGGGGGGGGCGATCACAAGTGTGTCTTTTTTTACCAAGCTTAGCCGATTTTCTGCCACCCAAAATCCACTGTTTGCACCAGTAAAAGAGTAGTGTTATATGCCTGACATAAGAGCTTTCCCCATTTTAAGGTTAACTCGATTAACAAATATGTCAGTCGTGGTCTGGTGATTGTTTGATTACTTGATAGCTACTCATAAATGTGATTTTTAACAATCATAGTAATTGATTGATTGAAAATTCAAAGAGGTCGCAAAAGTGAAATTTGGCCTTGTAATCAGTCCTTTCCACTTGCCGACTGCATGGCATTTTTTTTCATATAAATGTCTGTTATATTCGGTTTCGCAGCTTTGGTATCAGAAGTTTTCATTATAGATATTTAAAATTAGACCAAATGTTTAATTTGGACAATAAAGTTTATTACTTGATTGAATGTATCTCTATTTATGTATTTTCCAGTTGAAGTTTGAATGGAAAACTCCCCCACTGAATATTACTATGGCTACAGCTTTTGAATTCAGATTATATAGTTTACCTAGACCAAAATCTCACATAGACTCTGCACGTCAGAAATTATTACAAGATGTCCGCAGAGCTACTGGTAAGTACTATACTTATACTGAAATTTCATGATAAATAATAGAATTTTTGGTTTACTTAAAAACACAAATGTAGTTTCTAAGAATAAAAATAACTGCTTGAATATGAAAAACTATTAATTGATCAACTGTGACATTGTGATCGTTTTTAAGTACATGTGAGCTTACATGTATTTGAAATGAGTAAACATCGGTATATTTTTTTGCATGTTTGTCCCAATAATGAGGTAGTATTTAATTAGTATTAGGTGGTTTTGGATAGTACTGGATCAGTCATCCTGCCCATAATAATGAGGTAGTATTTAATTAGTATTTGGTGGTTTGGGGTAGTACTGGATCAGTCATCCTGCCCACAATAATGAGGTAGTATTTAATTAGTATTGGGTAAATCGTCCTGCCCATAGATTGTTATCACAATTGTTATTCTTTAACCAAAGAAGAAATTTCGATAATAACACCTATTTAAATAGCCAAAAGGGGCTATTTCATTAATAAATAATTATTATTGTTATTGTGTATTGCCATGTATAATGTTATTCATCATTGTATTGCCATGTATACTATAATGTTATTCATCATTACTATATTGGGCCATTTCATGATCATTTTGTTAAGCCCAACATTCATTCAGTAGGGTCGTTAAAAAAGTATTAACATTAGTGTTATTTTGCTCTTATTTTTTTGAAAAAATTTTCACAAGTTGATTTCCTTTATTTTGTTAATGTAGAATGGTAATGAACTGCGCTTTTCATTTTCTTTGTTTTATTTGTTTCGTTTGAATTTGATTTATCTGTTTAGTTTTTGATTGTTTAATTTTTGTTAATGAAGTTGATTCTTTTAAACTTCGTTTTTATTTTTGAACTCTACTTGGTGTAGGTGTTCATCAGGTAATACCTCGACTGAGTTCAATATAGAGATTAGCCGGTTGATTTGTTGATATAAAACCTTTGAATAATAGCGCCTAACAGGCAGCTGTGTTTAATTATGTTCTCCTGATTTTGATTGTTTCTGTGTGTTTGAAGTATATGTTTGTGATATGCGCTTAGAAACACTTCACGTGTAATGAAGCGCTATATAAATCGAACAATTATAATAATAATATAGACAATAGAATTTCTTCTACGTTGTTATCCATTTTCAACCATACGATGGTTTTCAACAACTTTCTCAGTTTTCACAAATTTTTCAATCCACTTTTTAATTGATACAATACAATGACCCCCTTTGTTGTTGTTCTTAGGTTTTAACGCCCGCTTCCACCGAAGGTGATATCGCAGACAAGTCTTATTTTTTATTTTTATTTTAGCGCACGCGCAGGGTTCTTTCCTGTGTGAGGAAACCGGGGTACCCGGAGTAAATCCACGAGGTTGAGAAAGCGCCCCTATCTCCAAGCCACCTCCAAGCCACATACGCTCACACCAGGGATCGAAACCACAGCCGCAAGCCAGAGGTGACCGAAACGCGGCACTCTAAACCACTAGGCCATCCCTATCTCCAAGCCACCTCCAAGCCACATACGCTCACACCAGGGATCGAAACCACAGCCGCAAGCCAGAGGTGAACGAAACGCGGCACTCTAAACCACTAGGCCATCCCAACCCCCTTTACTTTGTACTCTCTTTATAACATGTGAACTGAAACCAGACAATCCTATAACACGTTTCTCTTAAAGGGGCATTATGTGAGATTAGATAGAGTTGACATTTCTTGGTATAATAGTTGAAAAATAGATAACGTAAATAGAATAATATGCTGAAAATTGCATTCAAATTGCTCTACTCTGAACCGAGATATTAGCTTTTGAATTTTAGGCAAGCCTCAATCACCGTTACTAAAGTCAGTACGATAAAAAAAAGTCTCGATTATCCGTTTTTAAGGTTCATTATCATTCACAAAATGTATTCAACTTCGCTAAATATCGCAGGTTAGCGATGGCATCGAGAGTTGATTATGGTTTGTATAAGTTAATTAATGTCTAATTAATAATTTAAATAACATTTCAGGCCTTCATTTTAACACCTGGCTCTTTTAACCTTTTTTGTTTCATCACTTTAACTTTCTTCTCTGGTCTTCTATTTCTGTAGAAAATTCTGATCTTCTATTTCCATAGGAAATTGTTCATACACAAAGTGATTCGTGGCATTATATCTAACCTCATCCATCTTTGTTTTTTCTATTCAACTACTCCCCTCTATCCCCAAATCAGTTTACTCTCTCCAGCTGAAATTCACTAACCATTTTTGCAGGTACCTTCATAATCTCTGTCATAAACCACCTGTGTCTAATGGGTTCCCATTCTCATCTTCTAGAGTATTAGTAAATATCAAATTATTGCTCATAGATCTAGCTTTAATATTTACAATTTCCTCTTTGAACTGTATATAAGCATCTTCCATCTGTACAATGGTAGATTATAATTTCTATGTGCTTGGTTTCTAGGCTGATCTGTGACATTTCACATCTCAAAACATGCTGTGATTCTTCTAATTTATTATTTGTTTCAACTATTCTGTATAGAAGTTGTTGAACATAATTTAACAGTTCATGGGGACCAAAACAGCACACCAGACTGGTTTGTTGGACTTTTAGATTGTTGTACATATTGCTTGGGCTGGTGTAGATGTTATTAAATTAGGTGTAGGTTACATCATAAACTGGTGTACTGGGGGTGGATTTGTAAACATGGAATCGAGTTCTGTCCCTTGAGCAGCCATTGTAATTTATTTTATAACTATGATGCAACAGTTCATTTTACCCATCCACCATCTTGTCGACACTCTAGAATTTTAAAGTTAATATCCGATTGACTTAAATTTATACACAGTGAATACGGTCATGAGACGAAGAAGCCGATTTCAGATAATAACTGCTAGAGTTATGGCCCTTGATCACTTTAAAAATCTTGTGGAAGCTTGGGAGGCTAAAGTTCATATCTGATTGACTTTAAATTTATACAAAGTGAATAAGATCATGAGACGAACAATTACTGTGAGGGTATGGCCCTTGATCACTTAGAAAAATCTTTTAGATGCTCTACAAGAGACGAAAGTTGTAACCTGATTGACTTCAAATTTATGCACAGTGAATAAGGTCCCGAGACGAAGAACCCCACTGATTTTCAATAATTTCCGATAATTACTGCCAGAGTCATGGCCCTTGATCACTTCAAAAAATGTTGTCGATGCTCTCAAGACCACCGTTATTATTCGATTGACTTTAAATTAACTAATTTCTGGCATTCAGCTAATAGAAATAGTTTGTACGGTCAAACTAACTTTTCGGCATTTTAGCTTATACACATAGTTTTAGCATATAGACATAATTTGTATACATTATTAAATGGGAATAAATCGCGGACGGCGGTCACCGTTGGGTTTTCAATGACCAAGTAACCGACATTAGTTATTGCTGAAATAGAAACAGCATTAAACTCAAAAATTTTAAATTCCATCCCAATGATTATTAATTACCCCATGTAGCATGTATATTTCACAAACACAGGTCATGAGAAATAAACAATTAATTAACAGCGGCCGTAGCTTACAGACATAAATTACATGGATAGGGTAACTTTTAGCTTAAACGACATAATTTATAGGGACTGATTAACTTTAGCTTATAGACATAGTTTATATGGATAGATTAACCTTTAGCTTATAGATATAATTTATATGGATAGGCTAACTTAGACGACATAATTTATAGGGACAGATTAACTTTTAGCTTATAGACATAGTTTGTATGGATAGATTAACCTTTAGCTTATAGAAATAGTTTGTATGGATATATTAACCTTTAGCTTATAGACATAATTTATATGGATAGGCTAACTTTTGGCTTATAGCCTGAGTTTGTATGGATATATTAACTATTAGTATAGACATAATATATATGGATAGATTAACTTTTAACTTGTAGGCATGGTTTATATGGATAGGCTAACTATTAGGGTATAGACATATAGACATATTTTATATGGATAGACTAACTTTTAGTTTATAGTTTATAGACATAATTTATATGGAAATATTAACCGTTAGCTTATAGACATAGTTTATATGGATAGACTAACTTTTAGTTTGTAGTTTATAGACATGATTTATATGGAAATATTAACCTTTAGCTTATAGACATAGTTTATATGGATAGACTAACTTTTAGTTTATTCCCTTGGTGTATATGTTTTGACATTGTTATTAATTGTTTTCTTTTTTCAATATCCATTAATTTTAGATTCAACAGCTAACCACTCTGCTGACTGGGCTGCAAATATTGGATATAAGATAAACAAAAACGATGTAGAAGTCAGATTCAAGTTCTCTGAATTTCCATTTATACATTATACTATATATTTGCACTTAAAGGATAACAATACTGATATACAAGTTTATGTACTCTCAAGGGTAATAATGTAGAAGTCAGATTTAAGTTCTCTGAATTTCCATTTATACATTATACTATATATTTGCGCTTAAAGTATAACAATACTGATATACAAGTAGAAAAAGTGGAACTGCCAAGGGTAATAATTTATATTTGTAAGTGGGGGGGTTGGATGGCCGAATGGTTAGCACGTGCGTGCTGCGGTGTATCATACGGTCTGTCATTGAGTCAACTGGCGGGGTTTCGATTCCCCGGTTGTACGTGACAAGGAGTAGGGTCGCCTGTCCAACAACGTGGGTTTTCTCCGGGTCCTCCGGTTTCCTCCCACTGCTAAAGACCCCTCCGCGCAAGCGAATTATTGAAATAAAATTGAACCACGTGTTAGTCCCGAAATGATCTAGTTTGTGTCGAGTGGACGTTAAACCCCATTTCTCTCTCTCTCTCTCTCTCTATCTATATATATATATATATATATATATATATATTTGTAAGCATTATTTAGAAAAACATTTTTGAGATAAACTTAAAAATGGTAATATCTGTTCTTATAATGTATGCAATACAAGATAGGCGAATTTTGCCCAGACAGTGGTGTTTCTGCCTACTCTTCCATGATTTCCAACTGTAAAGGATTGTTTTACAAGCACACCAATCTAGACACACAATGACAGGACAACACTTGTTAGACACTAAGGCATCACCCATGACAGTCGAACAGAAAACCCAGATATCGTTGAATCGATGCATCGCGATTGACCTTCTTACGATACGCGTATTGAATCATGAGACGCTGAATCGATGTATCGTGATTCTATTTTATGGGTTTTTTGTCGCTTTAGTAACTAAACTGTCACTCTTAATTATCCACATCACACATTATCCACAAACTCCCTTAAATTGTTTTGGACCTTATTTTGATCTGTCGGCCATGAGTAGACAAAGTAACATTTCAAACCCTGGACACCAATAAAGTATCAATTATTCATGTATCCTGTTGTTTTCTTGATAAATATTGACCTGGTTATGAATCGTGATACGGATCGTATCGTAGCACCAGAATAGCAATACGCATTGTATAGTGACTGCAACACTATTTATCATATGAGGGTTCAATTTACCCTAAAAGACATAATTATATTCTCAAAAGATAATTTTCATTCACCTGATACAATACTTTGATATATATTCTCGATGATGCATTAAATAAAAATTTGATTTTGTTCCTTCTTTTTTAGTTAGCTGGTCAGGTGGAAGGGATTCATACTTTCAAGAATGTTTCAAGAGGCAATTACACTATAGCGGTAAGTAAAAGAACTTTCAAATTATTTTAGACAATCTGATTTCTGATATAGTATAACTTTTTATATACCCCAACCTGGTATGTATAGATAATGTATATTGTCGTCACCCTTGTCCCTCCACAATTCTTCCTGTAAACACCGTCTTAATCCGGCACAGAAATGCACCACAAAATCTAGGGATTTATACTAATAATATACAGATTGGTTGTAAAAAGACTAGTGAAGCAATGTGACAGATCAAATTCTCGACTGTTACAAAATGGTTCATAGATTGGTTGTGATAAATATATCACCGTTACACATCAATGAAGGTTAAGTTCGAATTTCGGAAAAATCTGACCGAAACCGCCGGACAATACGGCCGCTTCTTGTTCGCAAATAGTGTAAAAGTATGTAATATCAAGGTTATGGACCCTCTAGAAGTCACAATGTTTATCCGAGTTTGATGAAACTTGAAATTTATGTTTATATCACAAATATCTTAGTCCCTTTTGATATTCGCGCATGTCAAACTATAACTTCCAGGATTATGGCCCCTGCTTGTACGAAAGATCGCTGGGTTTTTTAGCTTGTACTCTATCCATCTCTTGCAAAATGAGGGCGTATCTTGCCTGGCAACCACTGGTTAAAAATCAGATAAAAATTGTGACCTCTAGAGAGCCCACAACCTTGATATGACATACGTGTACACTATTTGCGTTCGGGGAGTGGCCATTTTGTCCGGCAGTTTCGGTCTGATTTTGACGAAATTCGAACTCAACCTTCTTTATGGTGAAAGGAACCGAGATCTTTTGGAGATACACCTATATTTCAAGTTTCCTTAAAATCCGATAAAAATTATGACCTGTAGAGTGTCCACAAACAAAGTGTGAACGAACGGACGGACACGCAGACGGACGAGGGCAACGAGAATATACTTCCACATGAAAATAGCAAATTGTGACATCCTTTCCAAATAAAGTCCCATGCACATAGAACCGGGACGTGGTATACTGGTTGTGATGTCTCTATAATGGGTTTTGTTTTTATAAACAGATTAAGCCTATAGATGACGAATTTAATGAAGATTCCAAATGTCTGTGTTATCGTGGGTATAGAAACCATCCTGATAAACGAGATTGTACTTCATGTAGACTTACAGAAACGCAGGCACCCTTTTTTATTGGTGGTTATTCAGGTAATATTCTCTTTTTATAAATAACTAATTCAAGCAAAGAACAATCTTTTAAGGTATGTCTATAAATACATAAAAACGTGAAAAGACTGGTCACATAATCATATATAAAGAAGAAAAAATACAAAAAATGCCCCCACGCCTAACGATCTTTACACAGCAATAACAGGGCTTTCCCGAACATAATCTGTATAAAGATGAGAAACTAAAAGAACATATGAAATAAATAAGTAAGACATGGGAATTATAATTATGTATTGAGGTTTTCAAGGAGTTCAGCTAACCTTCATGCAAAATGTATTGAAATGGGTTATATGAAATGCTTGGTTTTATTCTGGGAGCCATGGTGGCTAAGTGAGTAAGACGCTGACTCGCTACCTTGGAGGTTGTGGGTTGGCCCTCGGAGTTGACCGAGACAGTTCCTAGGAATTAGCGGTATGGTGCAGAAAAGGGGACAAGGGGACAAGTACAGCTATCTAGTTGTTCGGATGGGACGTCGACGAAAACCCAAGGTCCTGTGCACACCTTGGCGTGCACATAAAAGATTCCTTGACAGTTGGAATTCGATATGTTACAAAATTGGAGATTATTTAGGAAAATGTCACTTAACCCCCTTGGGACATGAAATTGATTAAGACATCCTTAACATATAGTGACACCACTATGGGCATAACCATATCCAAGTCATTAGCTATTACAGCTGTCCCGATTACGTAATGTCCTTTGTCTTGTAAAGCAATCAGTACCGAACGCTTAATCTGGCAATAGCCACATGTGTAATCTTGTGAGATCCTTTTTCTAGAATGGGTGTTATAAACAGAAATCAAAAGAAGAGATGATTCAGTGAAGGCTATAGGCACCTTGGGTTAAGGCTAGAATAAGGGCCATATAAGTTAGTTGGAATGGGGAAAAATAAAAGTATTATATGAAATGTGATTGTACGAAAAATCACGTTTTTAGCTTATAGACACTCTAGATGTCACAATTTTTATCCGATTTAGATGAAACTTGAAATGTATGTTTATAAGGATCTCGGTTCCTTTCGATATTTGCGCATATAAAACAGCATCTTCCTGGATTATGGCCCCTGATTGTACGAAAAATCACGTTTTTAGCTTGTGGTCTCCCTAGAGGTCAGAGTTTTTATCTGATGTAAAAACAACTTTCAAATATATCACCGTTACACTATAATGATGTTTGAGTGCGAATCGGACCGAAACTACCCGACAAAATGACCGCTCCTCAAACGCAAATAATGTAAAAATATGGTATATCAAGGTTTAGTACTCTCTAGAGGTCACAATTTTGATCCGATTTGGACGAAACATTAAATTTATGTTTATATCACAAAGATCTCGGACCCTTTTGATATTGGCGAATATCTGTCTTTAACTTCCTTGATTATGGCCCCTGATTTCTGAACCTCTATAGGTCACAATTTCTATTCAGTTTCAAAAAGCGTTTAAATATATCAGCGTTATACCTTAATGATGGTTGAGTTCGAATTTCGTGAAAATCCGACAAAATGGCTGCTCCTTGAACTCAAATAGTGTAAAAGTATGTAATACCATGATTGTGGACCCTCTAGAAGTCACAATTTTTATTCGATTGAAATGTATGTTTATAATATAAAGATCTCGGATCCTCTCGATATTCTCAGAGATTAGGTTAGCTATTATTAATGTGATGGCAATATTGTGTAATATTGATTACTTTTATAGCTTTCTTGAGAGTGAGAATGGCGCTTGAATATAAATTAATCTTGTTTCTACAACTACAGATAATCCAGTTAAACCAACGTCAGATAATCCAGTTAAACCAACGTCAGATAATCCAGTTAAACCAACGTCAGATAATCCAGTTAAACCAACGTCAGATAAACCAACGTCAGATAATCCAGTTAAACCAACGTCAGATAATCCAGTTAAACCAACGTCAGATAATCCAGTTAAACCAACGTCAGATAGACCAACGTCAGATAATCCAGTTAAACCAACGTCAGATAATCCAAGTGATGGTCCAAATACTGGAAAATCGGTCCAACTTTCAAATACAGATATAGGTTTAATAATTATGGGAATCACTCTGCTTGTCATTCTTGTTATCGCCGTGGTCATTTTATTATTGAGAAGGAAATGCATCAAATGTGGTAAGTCTATTTGAGGTGTGCATAGTCTTTGAATGTGTTAAGTGGTCTTTGATCTGATTTATTGAGGATGGTGCAGACAATGTTAATAGAAAAAACGACCAGCTTCACCAGCTATACTTTACACATCAGTCTTTGAAGATTAAATTTAAGGTTTTCCTCACAATTTATTTCGAGACATTTGTATTCTGTATTCTGTCACTCAAGGCAACAAATTGGTTCATATTGCGATATGTGAATATTATAATTACAATAACTTGTTTGGGGAGATCTTCGAAAGAGACTTTGCTTATAAATCAAACATGCTTGGTCTTATAGATGGCCCACACAGGATGAATTTTTTCTCAGATTTTGCTGTGCTTTAGAGAAAACTCTTGTCTAGATACCCACTCTTAGACAATGGAAAAAAACAGTTATTTTCAAGACATGTCTACACAAATAGCCTGGTGACATACACCCCTACAGACACAGAATGAACTGAAGGTATAACATGATGTTTTAATCTTTGTTGTGTCTGTATTCAAAATGACGGTTCCTTTGTAATTGTAGGTATGGGGTATATTTGTGATATTAGGAAGGCTAGTTGTGTAGCAGGTAACCAAGTAAATCTCGAGAATCTAACTAATAGCAATAATGGACATACAGGTATGATTACAATCTACAATCTGAAGGCGTTCGATCACCTGATTGTTTTTTAGAGTTATTGCCCCTTATACGGATGTTTTCTCTTTGGGGATACTTGATTGAACATACAAGAATTGAACTGTCTCATTCCTGAAAATAGTGACAATGGAATGAAAGACAGATTTCGGGTGGCAACCCATGCGTCGACTGCATAAGAAATTATCTCAATCAACCATGACATCTTTAACATAGTCGTTGTGTTAAATTACGTTACAATTCTACTCACACCACCTCAGTTGTAAGAACTGATAGAACCGTGGTGGTACTGCTGTATTCAGCTTCAATTGCAATTCTGTCAATTGAGGATTTTCAGGACTGCAGACAATCGAGCATTCACTTTGTCCTTAATTCTATTGAGTTTAATTCACTAACAACCACTTTGCATTAGGATTATTTACCAAATTACACACAGTTTGATTCTTGGAGAAACACAGGAGTTGTGGAACCATACACAACAGTCTTTTGATTCGATTATGATTACATACATGGATCTGATTTATTACCAGGTCAGTGGCCTGGTTTCAGTTAATGATAAATATATTCGCTTATTTTTAAACACTTTTGTTTCAGTGACAGTGGCTCCCTTACAGAAAAGGTCCATTTTTATATTAAATGCTGAAGATCACCAACATCATGTAGAATCTGTAAAACAACTTGTTCTCTTTCTTCAAGATGAATGTCATTGCCAACCTATCTATCCACCATTTTGTCTCAAAGAAATTGGTCAAATGAACCACAAGGACTGGACGTTAAAGACTTTAGACACGGTTGATTATGTCATGATTGTTAATTCAGAAGCATCTTATTATCTGATGAAAGCAGCCAGTCAGAATGGCAGCTATAATTATCGTCCAATCACGTCAACGGGTAATTTATTTACTGATTTTATGAAAGAAGTTATTAAGGAATCTAAGAATACGGAATCCCTCGATAGATACATCATGGTATCTTTTGATCATAAGTCATCAGAATTTTATTTATCAGATATACCCACCAGCCATTGTTACAAAATAATTCAACAAATTCCCGATTTAGTTAAATATATCCATCATCAAACACCAGAGTCAGACACGTATCCCCAATTACAAGATGTCTTCACAAAATCTATGGATGATTTTGACGCTGGAAAAAGCCTAAAAGATGCTGTGTATAAAGCAGCTAAATTTGAGAAGAGTAATGTTACATGGTTTTTAGATACATTTGGAGAACCTTATGGCCGTGTTTACGAAAAACACGATTCTGGTATCGGTTCATTCATCGGGCATGAACATGATGCAGCCTCTCCACAGCAGAAGGGCAACCTTGACTTCCCAAGCAACAGGGACGAGAATGGATTTTTGCCACCAGAAGACATCCGTAGTACCAATTCTGAACCCCAGTTTCAAACTGATGTTGGCGAGGAATCTAGTGGTTGGGGAATGAAATTTAATCAAGCCAATGACTCACCGAGAGCAGAGGTAGATGAACATGGATGGTTCCCCCCAGACACTGTATCTAGTTATAGTGAAGCAACTGCAGACCGGAATAGCTTTTTTCCACCAGACACTCTGTCTGAAATGGAAACTAAAAGCTTGTCACCGAGCACTTACATGAGAAACATGAATGCACGTTATGAGGCTGCTGTAAATGGTATGAACGAAAAAGATGAAAACACCTATTCTGCTTTAAATCATTTTAATGAAAAAGATGAAACAGACTATTATTCTAATCTGAAAGATACCACTAGGTGTTAACAAATATAAGTGGACCATTCTAAGATCTGTATCTTGAAAAAGTGGACTATTCCAATTTTTATCTATATTCAGTTTCATAAACATAACATTCATTATGCTTGTACTTCTGTATACAGAGAGATTACGTTTAATGTTATGTGTTTTGGTCGGACTAGATCCGTTACTTTATTTGACTTTTTCGTATGGAATAGCTGTATAACTATAATTTCATTTGACAGCAGTCACCAAAAATTTATGACAATCGGCCAGACAATTTTTCATAAATATCCCTTGAATCTACATTGGTTTTTTTTTAGATCATTGCAAATATTTTGAGTAGATTTTTTTTCCGCTAACATTAACAAATTACTATCTAAATGTTAAGACAAAACAAAAGTTTACTGAAAAAAACATGATGTGCAGTGGCCTGGTCTTTATTGATATGTAGATATTGTTTCGTTATAGAACTTATATTGTTGTTGTTCATAAGAATCATTTGATGTAAATATTGTTCATATACAAATGTATAGGCTATATAAGATATTGAAATGTGAAGATTAGGGAGCTTTAGATTACTTTTTGTTCATTTCATCTGAATTATTACATACGGGTTGGACAGCCTGAACTGTAATTTAACCAATATAAAACCCCTGTACTGTTGCCCAGTCAAGGTAAATACCTGTATGGACATACTGTTTATAAAATTTATTGAAGCATTTTTATTACAGTTTTGTAGTAATATTTCATTGTGCTGATCTCTGATGTTATATTTCAATTTGTGATAACATGATTTATACAATTAATGTTTACTAATTTTTGTTAGAAGTTTGGCTTACTTTGTCAAAAGTAGAACACAAAATCAGTAATATTTCAACGCTGTTTTTGTCTCTAGACAAATTTTATATTTCTAAAACAAGCCAACATATAGAATCAACAATTTTATTTTGCTCAAATCAAAGAGGTCTAGCCATAAGGTATGTAGTAATACAAAAATCCATTTAAAATATGTTTAGAGTTTATATGTAAGATTATATTTCATTATACGAAATTACTGGCTTAGAGAAATAAACTGGCGGCAAACGTTGTATAGGAAATGACCAGACGCATACACAAATAGCCTGGTGGCTTACACCCCTACAGGCAAGGATTTCTAATTTTGTATTGTCATTGTAATGAGTCAAACCACCTTTAATATAGTCCCATAAAAAACACAGGACATGTCTGTCTATTAGTGTATAATAAATGTCTAACCGATATCTATGCAATAATTTTGATTTATCTGAGAGTTCAATTAAGACCATACCCAAAAAATAATATGGTTCTCAGACAATCCATCCATAGAATTAGATACAGGAGGGGGGGGGGGGGTATTTTTTTAAAGGATCACTACTGGACTAAATGACTTCTCATAAACATCACAATTCAAGGCAAGGGGGGGGGGGGGGGTTGTTGGATGACTGAATGGTTAGCGTGCGCGCTGTATCATAAAGTCTGTACGTGACAAGGAGAAGGGTCGCCTGTCCAACCTCGTGGGTTTTCTCCGGGACCTCCGGTTTCCTCCCACTGCTAAAGACCCCTACGCGCAAGCGAATTCTTGAAATAAAATTAAACCATATGTAAGTCCCGAAATGACCTAGTTTGTGTCGAGTGGACGTTAAACCCCATTTCTCTCTCTCTCTCTCTCTCTCTCTCTCTCTCTCAATTCAAGACACCACATTTATCTCATCATGTTGTCTATAAGAAAGTATGATTGTCCTGTTTCATTCATAAATTGCGGTAACATACTTCATGTTTCATTCAAAAGCTAATTCATGTAATTGTTATTTACATGAGGTAATGGATGAGATTGTTTTTATTTTTTGAAATAGAAACTGCTCATGCAACCCTTTTTATGTGAGACGGGAGTATCTGAAACCCTATATTTTGTGTATGGTCTAATTATTATTACACCTATTTATAAAGCTAGAATTACTTTAAATTATTTAATATATTTTTTTTCTGGAACGCTGAGTCATAGATCTGATAGACTAGGAGTAATAAATGACCCTGTGATATGAGATATAGGTTTCTTTATTTTTTTATGCTCAAACTCAAAATACTTGTATCAGATATTATTTAATGGCTTTAAGAAACTTGTATTTAACGTAAATAAGTGATGCCCATTTTTGTAAAGCTAGAGTTTTTCATATTTTTTATCATATCAAAAAATAATTTAACTTGTAATATCAGCAGTAAATGATATTTTGATATGCAGTTAATGATCTTATGTATATTATATTGCTCATTGACTTTAGTTATATATATATATTTTTTTTTATCCCGGTGTGTACAACTGAATTTTCTATATTCCTTTTATTATTCTACCTGCCTTACATATGATTTTGAGCAGTTTTCTTTCTAAGAAATGTGGCTTGAGTTTCTAATTAGTTTTACCAAGTTCTGAAAATTTATTTGCAATGCATTTTGTCAGTTAAATATTGACACAAATAATGCTTCACTTTCGTATAACTAACAATTTGTATTGACAGTCTAACAAACATTGAACTTTCAGACTATCTATATACAAATATTGTAGCCATCTTTTTAAACTGGTGTTTTTCTAATCATTCATTCATTTAATTCATTTTTATAATAAATACCATATTATTTGTCCATCAAATATCATATTTGTTTATTTTATATGAAATAAAAATTATTTTTATAATAAAACACAATCAAAATAACATTAGTTCATGTACAGTTTAGTAATATTCTTTAATCAAAATACAGATCCATTATTTTTGCGGTAATCGTTGCTGATATCGAAGTCAGGGGGCGGGGGAGGGGGATAGTAGTTGTCTTAATTCGTATTGTACGTTTAATAATATGTAGTCAGTCATTGAACGAAACGGCCATCTGGTTTGGTGCTTCCTGTGGTTGATAGTTAACCCCATTGGGGCGCTGTTACATAAACATACCCCCATCCCCCTTGCTGAGACCGTCGCACCACACCACTGATAACCCCAAGGCCAACCCACAGCCCCATGTGACTATAAAAAGAATGTGCTTTGATGTTTGTTGATAAAAATGTTGCGCCATACCTTACAATGCATCTGAATGCCTATCACGTTAGTGTTATCATTTCTAATTGTGTAGATTACTCGTTGAGTTAAGATATGAAACTAGAACAGTAAAAACATGTATTTATATTGTTCTATAAGTTTTCTTTTAGTTTTCTTACTTTTGTGTAATTTAACCGTTGCGCATGATATACATAACTGTTCGTGGATTATTACAGACGATGATCAGGTTGAGGTAGGTAGTATCTTTCCCTAAATTAACAATCACAGAAACCCAAAATATGGTGTTTAAAAAGGCTCGAGAACATTCAACATGTCAATAAATGAAACTAAGTTCACATTGCTATTTATTGAAAAGCCACGAACCAGCCGAACTGCCTATTATTTTCAGAGGAGTTGCAGAAAACAGTAGCAAGTACGTAAAACCCCATTAAATTTCATTCATGAGAGCTCCGCTGAATTTTGAAAACCCCAAAGGCTATAATGCACACCTCAGCGTTTTGAGGAATTTGCAAGTATTCTAATTTGAACAACCCCGATATCAATCGATAAAAATTTTGTTACCGATTTTGTAACTTTTAAGGTATAGAAAAGATCGGGAATCTAACTAAACTAAAAAGAGAAACACCAGATATATTTCCGTGAATAAAACTGTTTAATTCAGTGCATGCACATGGTTCTTAAAAACCATTTATTCAAGTTTCAGACATCTATCTGAAGTAGGCCTGGTTTCAAACGTCCGGTTCGCATAGAGGGAGAGTATTTCACAAAGCTAATTTTGTATACTACTTAATTTCAAACATTTGTCAGGGGAGACCACGTGGGGATCCCAGAGCAAACCCACGAAGCTAACAGGGCAACTTAATACAGTAGTAACTGCAGTTCACATAGCAGGCGCGGATCCAGAATGACTTTCATTCCATTGTGGGCAAACACAAATGGTCACATACAGGTCTGGTAATTAGCCAAAAACGTCGACAGCATAAATTGACGTCGGGACCAATTGACCCCACGGAAAATCGCCTATTGACGACGGCAATTTTTTAATACCGTACTGCATGAAAATATAAGTTGATTGAAATTTAAAGAGTTTTATTAACGCTGTTCGCCTGTTGACGTTGAATATTGTTGTGTTTGCTTTTTAATTTTTCGGCAGCGTTGATAAGAAAAAAAACTGGTCATTTATGTGTTAAAATTCCCTGTAAACCTCTACATTTATGATTAAGCCTGTGCAACTATTGCAAGCTATATTATTTATTTTTATGCGCTGAAAGTAAACCAAGTCTATAGACTTTTCGTCTGTGAAAGTTTGTGCTCTGGAAAACCCCGACCAACGTTCCTATACTTAAATGGACTGGTTACTCTAATAGTCAATTGATACTGCTAATAAAGCTTGTTAAGAACAACCATAATATAATGGTATCTGAAGATATTTTGTTCCTCACCTGTGAAGGGAGCATCCCCCGTCAACATTTTAAGGACATTTAATGCAATTTTATTGGCGATTTTTAGACCTGTAATTTTGGAATTTACCTTCCGGAAATACGTCAGAATGCACCAAATTGAATCTAATTCACCAAATTTTTCTAAATTGAATTGAATCTAATTCACCAAATTTTTCAGGGGGAGGGCCCCCAGACCCCCCCCCCCCCATTACAACGTTTAGCGCCTTCGGCGCTCGCGGCGTTGGGCTACGCCCACCGCAATAAGTTAAGCAATTATCCGACCTAGACGCCCCCCCCCCTGCAAAAAATCGTGGATCCGCGCCTGCATACATCCCGTACTAGATAGCCTACTATCAGACAAACGCGTGTCATGGTGATATCCATCTTTGTGATATTTTCTAATTATGGATTTTGAACTCCCATAACGATCGATGGTACTATCATATTTTATAGGAACAGTATTTAATCATCATGCGATAACGAATTTACATATAGACTGTACACTGTGCACAAGCATGTAGACTTCATTAGGAAAAGAAATGGAAAAATGAAATGAAATAGGGTTTAACGTCCTACTGTTCTCCTCCGAACTGGGTTAATGAAGACGGGCATACGACATACAGTAGGCTATGAGGGAAAGTTTTTCCCGGATAGCGGCACTACGGCCTACTCTTATAACGAATTCCAACTGTCAAGGGACCTTTTATGTGCACGCCAATGTGTACACGGGACCTCGGTTTTTCCGTCCCATCCGAACGACTAGACAACTTTCCTGGTCAGCCCCCGCCCCCGTCCTGTATCACTGACAAGGGGGAACCACGCCGGAAAATCTGGATGAACATTCTCGGCCAATGCACCGGGATCGAAGGCCCGACCTCCAGGCTAGCGAGCCAGCGCCTTACCCACTTAGCCACTCAAATGTAATGCAAATTGAATTAATTTATTTCACAAAAAGAAACGGGTTGTCGAAATAATAGATGGTATTATGTGTTAAAAGAAGAGGAAACACATGCTGGATGTATCGTGCATGACTTCTCGGCTAACTAAAGAGATGGCTGTGAAGACTAGTGGTAGAAGGAGTTGGGGGGAGGGGTTATACACACCACATCTGTTCATCAGATCCATCCTTGCAGTTGATCACCACGTTGCACCTTTGGTTGAATTATACATTCTCCATTATTACATCTCCATTCATCTTTTGTACAGTTTTTGGGAAAAGGGTTTGCTCGCTGCACCATCCGGGCTTTATAGATGCATTATTTAAGAACTAAATCTGCCTACTGCACGTTATTCTGTTGGCCTCAAATGTTATATAAATTATTAATAAGACATTTAATCACATGACAAGTCAATAATCAACTCTCTAGATTGTCGCGATTTCAATGGATTGAAACACGATCGTAACAACAGCTCTTGCCAATCGAGATTTTTGACTGAAATGTTCAATATATTCATTATCGATTACCAATTTGTGAACTATTATATCAAGAACTGCAAAATCTCTATCGAAAACTTACAATGCATCATTAATGAAAACGGATATACGCCATTTGTGGTATTTAAAAAAGCATGTTTATCTCTCCCCCCCCCCCCACCACCAAGTGGGCCCCAGCTGTCTTTTTTATAAAAAAAAGAGGACAAAAGTACGATTTGTTTGTTTTACTGTGACCTAAATCATTTCAAGATGGCTTAAGCATTCTATGTGATAATATACCCTTGTGTTATTTCCCTCATATCTTATCTTTCGATTGGGTCAATCCCATTGTGCATCTACCTGGATTGATGCGTGTGAAAGACAAATAGTCGAATTGATTTGAACTATTTATTTGTTGAGATAAGCTTTTCTCTACATTCAAATTTCTGCCTCCCTAGATTCGGAGAATTTGTATATTATCGAACGATTTTTAAGCAAAAAGCGAAATTAATAGTAAATTTGTTCTTACTTTTTTATACGCCGTCGCCCCTGTCTGTATGTGTGTGTCGCCTACAGGCCACAATTCTTAAGTGATCATCTTGAAACTTTACATACTTATTCCTTATACCTCAAGGATGATCTCTATTGTTTTTGGTGCATGCCCGACCCCCAGGGGCAGAGCCACGCCCATTTCTTGTATTTGTTTGTCGTCTACAGGCCGCATTTCTTAAAGTATTATCGTGAAACTTTGCATACTTATTCTTTGTACCCTAAGGGACACCCCTATCGTTTGGGCGCATGTCCAACCCCCCAGGGGCAGAGCCACGCCAATTTTCTTTTTGTATGTCTGTGTGTTGCCTACAGGCCACAATTTTTAATCAATCGTCTTGAAAAATCTTCGTATGAATTCCTTATACCCTAAGAATGATCAATAATTGTTTTTGGTGCATGCCCGACCCCCATGGGCAGAACCAGGCCCATTTCTTGTATTTGTTTGTTTTTCGTCTACAGGCCGCATTTCTTAATGTATCATCTTGAAACTTTGCATACGTTTTCCTTCTATCCTCAGGAACATCCCTATTGTTTGTGGTGAAGCCCATTTTCTTTTTGCGTGTCTGTGTGTCACTTACAGCCCGCAATTCTTAATTGATCGTCTTGAAAACTTTTTTATACTTATTCCTTATACCCTAAGGCTGACCTCTATTATTATTTTTGGTTCATGCCCGACCCCTTGGGACAGAGCCACGCCCAATGTTTGTGTGTCTTGTGTTTCGCCTACAGGCCGCCATTCCTAACAGATCCTATTGAAACTTTGCATACCTATTTCTTATACCCTAAGGATGACCCCTATTGTTTTTTGGTGATTGCCTAACCCCCAGGGACAGAGCCCAACCCATTTTCCTTTGTGTCTCTGTGAGTTGCCTACAGGCCACGATTCTTAATGGGTCGTCTTTGAACTTGGGATATGTATTCCTTATATGCCTAACTGCATGTCCCGACCCCCAGGGGCAGAGCCACGTCCAATGTTTGTGTTTATCATTTACAGGCCGCAATTCTGAATGGATCAACTTGGTACTTGGCATATGTATTCCTTATAGTCTAAGGGCGTCAACTATTGATTTTTGTGAATGTCCCGACCGCAAGGGGCAGAGCCACGCCCAATTTTTGCCACAATTCTGAATGGATTATCTTGGAACTTGTTATACTTATTCCTTATACCCTAATGACGGCAACTATTGATGTTAATATTTTGTCTATAAATTTAGCAAAACAAACCTCTAGCCTTCTTTGCCTCTTGTCATATT